TTGCTGATTATGGGGACACTTCGCCATCTATGACCACAGTTAGATATTGGTTAAACGAATTTAAACACGGGCGATCGACCAGGACGTTCTCGCTCATCGACAAACTAAAGTGCGCGAAGTAGCAGAGACCGTAGGTGTGTCGACCGGAACGGCAATCAATATTTTACATGATAAGTTGGTTATGAAAAAAATTTCAGCCCGATGGGTGCTGCGATTGCTCAAGGTGGACAACTAGCGGATGCGGCTGTTAACTTCGAAGCAGTCTTTGGAGCAATTTAAGCGAAATCCGAAGGAGTTTTTTTGTCGAGTTGTCACCGTCGATGCAATCTGGATTCATCATTACACACCAGAAACTAAGCAACAATCCAAACAATGGATTTCTCCCGATGAATCTACTCCAAAGAAGGCGAAGACGGTCCCATCGGCCGGAAAGGTTATGGCGACGATTTTTTTGGGATGCGAACCGCGTCATCCTCGTGGATTTTTTAGAAAAAGGAAGAACGATCACTGGACAATACTATAGTGAGTTATTGGAACGCTTCGACAAAAGGTTGAAGGAGGCACGCCAACATTTGACAAAAAGGATGTACTGTTTCACCAGATAACGCACCAGTACATTCATCCGGAGTTGTCGCCGCCAAACTGCATGAATTGCGTTATGGAGTGCTGCCGCACCCCCCATATTCACCTGATCTGACCCTTTGCGACTTTTTCTTGTTCCCTGATATGAAGAAATGGCTCGCGGGGAAAATTTAGCTCAAACAAGGGAGTCATCGCCGAGACAGGCGTATTTTGTAGAGTTCGACAATTCCTATTTTTGGGGGGGAGGTTAAAAAAATAGGAGGAACGTTGGGAAAAGTGTATCTTTCTAAAAGGGGATTATGCTGAAAAATAAAAAGGAATTTTTCGGAAAAAATGGTATCTTCATTTCTAACATGGGTACTTATAGAACCGCCCTCGTATATATATATCCTTATTTCTTTAAGAGAGAGTTTAAGTTATAAGGGTGTACTTTTGCAATACTTTGCCTTCTACCCAATGTAATTAAAGGATATCTTCTAACAGTTAGGTAAGGCAATTAACTATGAATACTATATATACAGGGTGTTTCAGTTTATTGTTGCATAACTTTGAAATTAATGCATAAAGTCTATATAAACATGGGTCGAAAAATGCGTGACTTCCGAAATACAGGGTGTTTAAATTTACTTTCTAAAATGGTTTTTTTTAAATATTTCGAACAATATTTGATGTATAACAGTGAAAATTGGTATACAAAGGTTTTTTGGTACGACAAAACGAACCATAGTTTTACTGTAGCCGCTAGAGGGCCCTGTCTACTGTACCTGAAGTGTATTAAAATAACCGACAAATTTTTCTTAGTGCAATTTTTTGCTTTTTGTATAAAATAACTTACTTCGCACTTTTCAACATAAAAAGCTCCCTTGTCTATTTTCGTTATAGTTAGCCGTTTTTGAGATATTTCGATTTTTAAGGTTCGATGCATTTTTAATTATTTATGATAAAATAAAGTTAAAAAGTCAGTATCTCGATAATTTTTAGAAGTAGGCTGAGCCTGCAAATATTTTTGAAATTGAAAGCAGAATAAGGTTAAACGTCAATTAGCTGACAGTTAGTTTTGTTGTCTGTTGAAACCTGAAACGTTTGTTTGCAATTGCGAATGCACGAAATTTAGTTTCTTTTACCTGTTTTTTTGTAAGTTTTATAAAAATGCCATTTTTATTCTCCAATCAAGAGTTAGCGGATATTCATTTTGTGTATGGCTTTGTAAATGGAAACGCAGCAGAAGCAGCCAGAGAATACGCACGAAGATTTCCAAACAGACGACATCCAACTCGCTCAGTATTTGTTAGAGTGCATCGCCAAATAATTGAAAATGGTTTTGAAAATCTCCAAAGGGATCAAAACATAAATGTTCGTCAGCAGATTTACCCGTATGATTCTGCGTGAGTTTGATAGAGATCCGACCATAAGTGTTAGGAGAGTTTCTGGTGCCTTGGGAATTTCAGCAAGCCATGTTCACCGTGTTCTTAGAAATAACCATAGACGTCCTTACCATTTGCAACCTGTGCAAGGACTACAGCCAGCGGACGGAGAACGAAGAATCACATCTTGTCAGTGGATTCTTGATAGAACTGATAATAATAGGGAGTTTTTAAGTAACGTTTTATGGAGCGATGAGTTATGCTTCACTAGACGTGGAGTGGTAAATTTTCATAATCAACATATTTGGTCGCATGAAAATCCGCATGCAGTTCGGGAAAGCAATTTTCAGCATGAATTTAGTGTGAACCTGTGGATTGGTATCTACCGTAATCGACTATTTGGACCCTACCTTTTGTCAATATATATATATATATATATATATATATATTGACAATTTAAATCAGTCGTGTTTTCTTTGCTAGCATCACAATTGTATTTTCAGAATCCTGATGAAGGCTCCATAGAGAATGCCGAAAGCTTGATTTTATCGTCAAAAGAGTCAACTTAAGCCTAAGAGTTTTGCCAATTTCCCAATTAACACTTAATTGTATTTTTTACCCAACTGGTCGTTGGCTTTCGCAATGACTACCGCTCATATATATATAGAGTCAGAAAATAGTGTATCATTTTAAGTAAAATATAGGCATAGGGAGTTCCATTAAAAACAATAAAAAACTTTATTCTACGTAAAACTTTATATTAGACCCTTCAACTTTTGTAAAAGACAGTTTTTACTAAATGGTTATGCAAAAAAGTTATAGCGTGAGGTACCCTGTACATAAGGGAGACCCGGGCAAATCGAAAAAATCGAATCACAGACTCTTTCAATCTTGAATAATCGACAATCGTTTGTAGGTAGAAGATCCTATACCCTCATACGTACTTATTTGACTACCATACAGCAAAATGTACTTTTTCAACAAGAAAACTGATTTTGCTAGATAGGTGTTGTTCGTGTAATTCCATTTCTATACTATCTATACGAACAGCTTTTTGAAACTTAAAACTCAGACTAAGCTGTTCTTTGTTTCTATTTGCATTAACCGATTTAAAGTCAGGATATTTAAAAATGCAATTGTTTGTTTTGAATATTGACGCTGAGGTATAAGAGAGAGTTCAATAAAAACTGCAATAGTAAACAATGGAACTTTAATAATATTATTATTCAACTGTAAGTAAACTTTTACACGTTGATATTTACTGTGTTTCAAGAAGTACAAGCACATAATAAAATCAATGTCATGGTTACTTAAAGCTAAAGCTAACTGTTGTAAATCAGCCATATCTGATTACTTAACACAGATTCCAACGGGGTTTTATAGAATTTCTGTTAAACAGTGTGTGTCATTTACATAACTCACATTCAATGTCACCATAAAAATGAGATCAATCTGATTTCACTGCATTTCTCATTTTTTCTTACATTCTACAAATTGAATTTATATTTATGAAATCAACAAAACATTATACATATCTTTAAGGCGGCCAAAGGTACGAGGTTCATTTTTTGAGCAAGCATATGTAACATTTGAAAAATAACCTGTGGTTTTCATGACGATAATCCCTCATGTCTGCCTGGCCAGTGAAACTACATAGGAATCTGAATATGAAAATAAAAAACAAACGAAGTTTCACCTGGAAGAGATGAATAAAATGTCAAAAAAGTGTTATGTAGTGAAGAAGATGTCCGCTATGACCGGAACATAGATTAAAGAAGAATTTTAAATACATGTGGTCATTAGCGAGACAAATATGGGGGATTAAGAATCGTTCTGTAATAGAGTCAGTGAAACTTTATTTATGATCACAAATCAAAATATAAATATTTTTTTCATTCTTCAACGTCACCATAAACATTTGTCAAGTCGCCTGACTCTTAAAGCAGTTAGTACAAGGTGGGCCATTCAAAGTGGAAGCATCAAGTAATATTATATCTTTGAGATTAGTTGTCAGATCGACTGTCATACCGCGTTGGAAGCGTCATTTTAGTACAATTTTAACCAGTTATTCAATTGTACATTTAAAATAACTTCTCAATCGTGAAAACTAAACGTGCGTTTCGTAAAAAAAATAAAGTTAAAAGTGGTCCAGCTGACAACACTATCAGACGCTTATACGCAAAATTTGTAAACACCGGTAGTCTTAGTAATGCCAGTCACCTATCCAGACAACGAACGAAACCTTCCGATGAAAATATCGAAGCCGTACGAACCAGTGTTGAAGAGACTCCATCAACATCCGGTCGTCATCGTTCTCAAGAGTTAGGATCGCTCAAACCACTCTCCGACGCATAATTCGTAAGGTTTTGGAGATGTTTCCATACAAAATTGGAACCAAAAACTTACTGTTTGGTACGGTATGTGCGCGAATATGGTCATCGGGTCGTAACAGTCAATGGTGAGCGTTATAGAGCCATGATAACAAATTTTTTGAGGCTAATTGTTTGTGAAAATGACATGGACGATTACTGGTTCCAGCAGGATTTCGCCACATGCCACACAGCTCGAGCAACAATCAATTTATTGCGACCATTGTTCCCTGGACGACTGATATCGAAAAATGGCGATTTTGACTGGCCACCGAGATCATCTGATGTGACGCCACCAGACTTTTATTTGTGGGGCTATTTGAAACCCAAGGCATACGCTAACAAGCCAAGGACTCTAGATGCCCTCAAGAACAATATTCGTCAAGAAATTGCCGCCATATCCGCCGAAACATTGGCCAACGTGATAGAAAACGCCGAAAAAAGGGTTATCAAGGCCAGAGGTGGCCATTTGCACGATATCATTTTTGAAAAGTAATTGCAATAAAGCTCCTTGGATCAAAATAAAAGATTTTTCAAATAAACAACAAACAAATATTTGTTTAATGTATTTTGTTATAAAAAAATGCTTCCACATTAAATGGCCCACCATGTAGCTGTTTTTCTCAACATGTCATCATTTTCCAAGCGCTTTTCACCAAGAAATTTTGGAGAATAAGGATGTCTGATGGAGATGAGACAGGTCTGCATGGTGGACGATCCAGTAATTCCCAACGAAACTCGTCCAGCTGCATCTGTGTTCTTGTCGTAACGTGAGGCCGAGCGTTGTCGTGAGGCTGAAAAATGCGACACCGCTAGAGAGCAGGCCACGACGGCGGTTTTGAATAGCTCCCATAATTCAACAACCTGCTGGTGACCATAAACATTTGTTAAGTCGCCTGCTCATTAAAACAGTTAGTAGCTGTTTTTTTCAACAAGCTCCTTCCACCAAGCAATTCCTTATGTTTCGGAAAAAGATGGAAGTCTGATGGTGTTGAAACAGGTCTGCACAGTGGACGATCCAGTAATTCTCAACGAAACTCGTCCAGCTGCATCTGTGTTCTTGTCGTAACGTGAGGCCGAGCGTTGTCGTGAGGCTGAACAATGCGACACCGCTAGAGAGCAGGCCACGACGGCGGTTTTGAGTAGATCCCATAATTCAACAACCTGCTGGTGACCATAAACATTTCTCAAGTCGCCTGGTCATTAAGACAGTTAGTAGCTGTTTTTTTCAACAAGCTCCTTCCACCAAGCAATTCCTTATGTTTCGGAAAAGGATGGAAGTCTGATGGTGTTGAAACAGATCTGCACAGTGGACGATCCAGTAATTCCCAACGAAACTTGTCCAGCTGCATCTGTATTCTTGTCGCAACGTGAGGCCGAGCGTTGTCGTGAGGCAGAACGATGCGATGCGATTGAATAGTTCGCATAATTCAACAACCTGCTGGTGTCTTTAGCAGGAGGAACCTTTATGCGCATAAAAACCGTATTACTGAGCACCAATTGACATAGCGACAGAGACGTGAAACGTAGAGAGTAGTGAGCGACTTGACAAGGGTGTCGGTTCGTACTCAAAATGGCCCTGCTATCAACTAACGCAAAAGGATCAGGGTCTATAAGTGGGTTTTTATAAAAATAGCTGAAATTTCAATTTAATCGGAGCTACAAAATGTATGCGGTAAAAATTGTTTGGAACATATATATTTTAAACGATCATCAACATTTTTATTTTTTTTTAAAGCTCGAAGTTCGTAAATTTGGCATTTTGTGCAAATTTCACCTATTTTTGGAATATTAGGTTAAACATTTTTATATAAGTGCATCTATCTCTTACCTTCGATAGAGGTTAGTTGCTATGCTTTCGTTCGTTTTCCGAGAGACCAAGCCTAGACCATGTTGATGAGGCGCCCAAAAGCATGAAACAGCTGTCCTTGGTTCACTGTTTCTGGCCGGACGGACGAAATCAGCATGAAATGAAATGTACTTACTATACAGGGTGGCCGACCCATGTGTGGACGGAATATTACTCATAAACAAATATATTTTGGGAAAATCTATTTATGGCATGTTATACATGACATTTGAGGGAACATTTCTAAAATATTGCCAACTGTACAGATTTTTTAAAAGGAATGCCCCAAATTTTATTGCATATTTGGATAAACCTATTCGAAAGAAAAATATTGATATAACATCTAATATGGGATTTTGGTAATTAGCTACTGAGATATAAGGTGTTCTGTCCAGAAAAACCTTCCACTTCCGCAACCCCTCAATTCGTCACTTTGTAATTTGAAGTGCTGAATTTTGTATCAAAAAAACTTACGCACCTCAGCTTTTATCTCATTTGTTACCTTTTCGAATTTTCTTTTTTGCTCATACAGGGTGGTCAAAAACGCGAATTGTACTTTTTCTCAAAAGTTTCAAATGCATCACCCTGTATATTTGTGAAAGTTTGGATTCAATTTTTTATAAGCTTTTTTTGGTAAGAGGTTTGATTCAGATAAAATCACTAGATTTTGAGTTATTAAGCTTTTAACAGAACCACAAAAATTAAGGAAAAAAATCACATCATCCATGGAAACAAAAGACAAACAGTGGGCTAGTTCCATATTGCCACTAATATTACAGATTTGACGTAAAAACTAATAACAGTCAGGATAGTATAAATCAGCTTCAAGTGTAATAGCGAAAAACAACTATAACAACAACATAAACAAACAACTATCACTACTCAAGACCTAGTCTAGAAAAACTGCTCGAAAATATCTCCACCATGAAGAATACACAGCCGTAGTCTTTGGATAAATGCATGTGTTCCCGTATGTTCTGAAAACCATCCTTAATCCTTTCCTTCATATTTTCTGGGGCAGATATATAAACCTCTTACTTAACGTAGCCCCATAGAAAGAAGTCCATCTGGTGATTAGAAGGCCAAGATGTAGACCCATCACGACCGATACAACGATTTTTACTCCAGGTGTTCAAATAGTGACGCACACGATTATGATAATGCGTAGGTGCGCCGTCATGTTGGAAGTACATATGCATCCGAGTTTGCAGGTTGACATCCTCGAAAACCAAAGGCAAATACTCGATAAAAAAATTCAAGTATTCTGTACCTGTTAATCGAAAAAGAAATGCCCGATAACTTGTCTGCAAATAACTCCTCCCCAAACATTCAAGTTCCATTTATTTTGGAAATCTATTTGCCTAACCCAGTAAAGGTTTTCCGTCGTATAACAGTGCATATTATGCTTGTGCTGTTAAAAGTTGCATCATCGCTAAAAAGAACCTTATCCAGGAAAGTAGTGTCTTCACTCACTTTATTTAGCATTATTCTACTGAACTCCATTCAAGCTGGGAAATCGCCTGCGAACGACGAAGGCCTTGATGCAAGCATGGTGATGTGGATGGTACCTATGCTTGTGAATAATCCTTTGGACAGAAGTTCTGCATATATCAGTTTTTGCTACAATTTGCCGTGCACTTAAATGGGGATTTTCCTGCAACTTTAATAGAACCTCCAAATGATTCGCCTCATTGATGACACTTGGATCATTTATACATTTTTTCCCACTGCTTCACTTGATTCAAAACGTACTCGTAGTGTGGAAAATGTTTCCGGCCTGGGATGTCGCATATTAGGGTACCGTTCCTTATAAACGCGAGATGCCAGGAAACTATTTCTTTGGGCTTCGCCCAAAACGAACACCATATTCATCATTTCTTCTTTAGAAAAAATCATTTTCAAACACGTTTTCATTATAATGCTCACAATGCTAATGTTGACAGTTTGTAACTAATCAACAATTTATTTGTTACCAAGGATGATGCGATATTTTAGGGAATTAAGCCGTTCCAGAAAAGACGTGCTAATAACCGAAAAAATAGCCGTAAAACCCTTATGTGTCTAGTACAAAAAAAAAAGCTTATAGAAAATTGAATCCAAACTTGCACAAATATACAGGGTGATACATTTAAAATTTTTGAGAAAAACTACAATTTGCGTTCTTGACCACCCTATATGAGCAAAAATTAAAATTCGAAAAAGTAACAAATAAGATAAAATCTGAGGTGTGTAAGTCTTTTTTGATACAAAACTCAGCACTCCAGATTTGAAAATGGCGGACTGAGGGTTTGCCGAAGTGAGGAGTTTTTCTTGACAAAACACCTTAGTACCTAATTACCAAAACCCCATAGTATGTTATATCAATTTTCTTCTTTTGAATTGGTTTATGCCAATATGCAATAAAACTTGAGGCATTCGATTTGAAAAATCACAACTTTAATATGTAGGTCAATATTGGAACACCCTGTATAATAGCCAATATTTTAGACATGTGCCCTCCCTCAAATGTCATGTATAACACCGCATAAATAGATTTCCCCAAAATGTATTTGTTTATGAGTAATATTCCGTCCACACATGGATGGGCCACCCTGTATATACGAGTACTCTATCACAAATTCTGATAGATCAGTGTTTTTTGTAGGCGATAACCCCCTGGGCGCTGGAGACCTACGGGGGGGGTGGTGTCGGTAAAGAGCATAAGGAAATTGTGGGGCGTTAATTTGATTTGGAGTTGACGCAATGGATAGTCTTTGTCTCCTGCTGTTCAATTGTCACAAAGAAAGTCGCTCTAAGAAATCATAGAAAGCCCTAATACAGGCGGAGGGCACAATTATTGATAATTATTTCTCAAAGTGGACAGTAGATGAAATAGAAAAATATCTTCTTGAAGTCTTATTTCGGTACGCGATGAAAGCCAATGAAATTTTATCGCAATAATTGATGGATCCTGCTACAGCAAATTTTCGATTCTTTGAAGATTAGTTATGCCGCTCAACATTCAACCTAACAAATCTACATTTCAGCTTCAAAATACGTAAGATTTTACGGGTTTTTAATATAGCTTAGAACGCAATATAACTAAAGATTTGCGGTTGGCCCTTGGACTAATAGAATTATTCAGTCCAATGGATTCTGTCATTCTGTGACCGCACTGATCCGAATCGACCATGAGCCTTGCTGTTTGCAGTAGCAAAAATTGAATAACAATGCAATATACTAAATACGAGTATGCTCAGTTACTGGTAACGAATATGTTCAAAACAAAACCGTAAAGCATTAAATTATAATAAACGTAGCTGTGGCAAATTCTCATAGATGACAGTTGACGACACGATAATTTCTTGGACCGAACAGTACATGGTTGGCTATCATCACGTAGAGATACATTAATCAAATGTTTCACGCTTTAAGTACGACACTGGTTGACGAAATATTCGACAGGTGAATGGCTTTTGGCAACTTTTTTTGTTGAAGCGAGTACTTAGGTCTCCTGCTACCTGTGCCATGTCTGATTATGTTGTCGAACGGGCTTTTTGCCCAGTATCACTTAGCGATAATTGACTTGAAAGGTCCGTTGTCCGAGAATCAAATAAATAAAATCACAAATTATGATATTTGAATCAACGTTTTCAGAAATTTGACGACTTTTAGCATTAGGTTATCACTATGGCAACCAGGACAATGCAATGATGGAATCCTGATTGAGTTTGAAGGTTTCAAAAACCAGTGGAGGGGAAGTGATGGGTGGGGATCCATAGAGTTGAATATTTTTGGTTGTTCAGAAACTAAACAAACATCCACACAATATTTACAGCAATTAAGAAATACCCAAATATATGTCGTAAAGCTACCAGCAAACCTAAAACCTGCAAAAAACTAGAAATTTGCAATATTTTTCTTTTTTCACGCGTACACATTCTAGGTTATATAATTAGACATTATTTGAATAACAGCTGATTATCTCCTGATATTTTAAAACTAACCATATCGACAAGTGTCACATAATTCTGTGGGATCCGTCAACACTTCGTCCCAGTGGAGTAAGCTCCGACAACTGTTGAAATATACTCTACTACGCTTTGTAAGACTATACGTGGAATTTTTTCTTAAATCGTTGCACAACACTTGAAAAATGCAAATGAAAATTTAAAATTAGTTCCATGACACCGCAAAATAGCTCCGTCGGTACCTCGGGTATACATCTTGATAGTAGGGATGTTCGATGCGTTCCTGTATTTAGAAGTATCGATACTTTTGCTTCCCATACCTGATATTTTGGATCGATACGTGTTTTTATACAGGGTGACTTTGAAGTTGAGTCATTAATTTTCAGATAATGATTGTAGAAGGAAAATAAACCAAAATATGTGTGTAAAAATAAAAAAAAAATAAAAAAAAATGTTTACCTTGTTTTATAAAGTATCCTCCCGACAAGTATTTCAGTGCGGACCTGTATTTGATCGTGAGGTCCCCTGTGAGGTTTTAAGTCACCTGATTCACAAGCCCGTTGTACTACATTAACAAAGGCACGAGGGGTTGGTCGCACTCGATTGGGAAACCGATCCGCATAAACATGTGCCATTTTTTATTTCGTTTGAGCCACGCAACACATACCACTACTCACTGACACTAACTGTATACAAATGAATGAGATACCTGTAAAAACATCGTTCCAAATTCTTTCGCTTTTTTGTTTCCGATGCGATGAACCGATACGGCGGATTATATCCATTGTCGCCAAACACGACCACATAATATTGTTATTGATACAGGGCGGTACTCAAACTTCCAAAGGGCTATAACTTTGTTACTTTAATTTTACCAGGAAAATGGTAAAGGAAAAAAACATTTCTTTTGATCAGATCTACTCACTGTTAAAATAAATGACTCAACTTCGAAGTCACCCTGTATATGACACTTGGGTGTATCGATACATTTCACGAGTATCGTCATCTTTCGATCCGGACTGTGTCAGAAAGAGTGACTAACTTCAGATTACTTTTCTTCTTGGTTTCCTTCCGCTGGATATCGATAATTTTATTCCAATATTTTAGAGTATCGATACTTCCTAAAACGATAAGAGTCGATACATATCGATATTTGTCGTGGATCTAAACATCCCTAACCTTGACAGCTTGTCGTTCTTGTCAACTGGGCTGCAGGGTGCGGTGTTGCCTTTACTATCTTACACTTTGCTAAATGCTTATGACAAACAAAAGCTTCAAATAAAATATTGACAAATATGAACGGATATGCATAGAATTTAGAATATAAATTCATATTGCAAATTTCAGATTGTCTATGCATGGACTTGAACTGGATTTTTCGGCATCTTTACCAAAAAGAGAATATTTACCGATAACATCATTGTCCACGATTTTTCAAAATAATTTTAATATTTCTATACTTGCCAAAAAAGAGCTGAAACCAAAAATAAAGCTAAAAGTTAATTTTATGTAGTCTGCATAGTTTTATGCCCCATATCAATCATACACACTCAGGCAGTCGGGCACATGAGAGGCGTAGATTTGGGTATATGGTTACGAACGCACATCCTCATCCCTTATCCGCTTGCCCTGAATTGATTTTTGTGCATACAAAAGGTACAGACTGGTAGATTACCGCCATTATCTCATCACTGGACAAGCAATAAAGAAACCGAAACCTATCTGTTTTCAAAATAAATATTTAATTAAAATGAGAGGTAAGTTCATGAGTTAAGGGGTAAAACAGAAACATATTCACAATCCTATAAGCAAGAATCGAAAAAGGAGTTTCCAGAATGGTTGCAAAGTACTTTGAAACAGCGACCAGTATGCACATTGTAGGTTGTAATATAGAACTATGCCCTCAAAAAACATGTTATGTGCGCGCCCAATACAATAACAGACGTTTTTCATGACTCCAAGGTCCTTGATATACCACTGATCTTGGGACGGCATTTTCCTTATACCGAATTCAACGACATTATTTACCGATTCCGTATTTTTTGCCGGTTTGGCAACACTGCAGATGAGCAGATAACTTTAAAAGCAATTGATATCCCAGACTTGTTATAATAATAGAAGTAACAAGAAAATAAAACAATGTTATGAGAAATATTTTCATCAAGGTATTTTTGATTCTGACATAATATCTAGACGATGAATAATCGGCGGATGCGGATACTTTTACAAATATCGATGTTTTACGACCCAGAAATTTCTAGATCATAAATTGGCAAAAAATGTTTTTGATGTTACAAAATATGATGAACCAGTTGGAATACGTTTTATATCCTTTTTTTTTTGCATAATAACAAAAATCGGTACATTTGTACAGGTACGTATTATGTACAGCACCCTGTCCGTGATATACACACAAAACTAGATTGCCATGCATGAACAGTGGTCAAAAACAGTGAAAACATCCTACTAAATATAATAGCTAGAAAATCGACCTATTATTTATCTCATTTTCATTGGTCCATTTAAATAACTGACCGTCTTTTGTGAAATAAATAAATAAAAATTTGAAATGAAAGTTATTCTAATTCTAAAGCACAAAGACATAATATTACATCTATAATGTACCCTTATTTATAAGGCAACTGTTTTTTCACGACTTTATTCAATATTTTAATAGAAATCACTGATATTCAGATGCCTTTGACAGGAATCGCCCTGTATAGGGCACTGATAGCAGCTGTCCCGTAATTTCGATCCGGAAAATTTTTTAGACGAAAAGCGAGATAACCGAGGTATTTAATATGGAAACTGACCCAGGGGGGTCAGGAAATGGCGCTTCCACCATGGCAATGGAGATGGAGTCTAAGGAGCAGACCATAGAGGAGCTGAGAGCCGAATTGGAGATGGTTCGACAGGAGCTGTCAAAAAAGGACGATGATAAGAAGACCAATGAAAGATTGATGATGATCATCGAAGCCCAGCAGCGGACAATTACCGACCTAACAGTTAAATTAGACCTCCTACTGAAAACCCAGGTACCTTCCCATCTAAATATTACAAATTCTTCCCAAACACTTCCCAAAAATCCCAGTAAAGACAAAGCTGTCAATCTTAAGAGACCGTTAAATAATTCAAGCGATCTTTCCACAGACGACGATACACTCCCTGACGGTTTTACCAAGGTTAAGCCCCGTAAAACGCGACGAAACAAGACCGACACGACAGGCTTTCCTCCTCTCCCTTCACCAAAATCGCAGTCTGAAACATCTCATTCAACTGCAAGCGACTCGAATAAAAACAGCCTGTGCCTAATCTATCGGTTACTTCCACGCCTTCGACATCTCAGGTACCAGAAGACACGACTGCACAGTCCCCACGCAAGGTACGTGTTACCCCCATCGTTCTTCGTGATGCTTCGAGATGGCGAGGCGTAAATCACAAGTTTATTTCCTTGGGCATCAAATTCGATCGCGCGGTTGCCGTCGATGCAGGAATCAGGATAATTCCCAAGTCCGAGGATGATTACCGCAGGATTGTTCGTCTCTTCAGGGAGGAAGAGGTGCCCCATCACACTTTCCCTCTACCCTCCGAGAGGAACATTCATGCTGTAATCAGAGGAGTACATGCGACACTTTCGGAAATTGAGATCAAGGAAGAGTTGCAACAGAGGGGATATTCCCCCCTGCACATAATTCGCCTGAAACGCGGTGGCGGCGTGCCCATGCCTTTGGTGGTAGTCATACTGCCCAAGATAGAAAAATCTCAGGAGCTGTTCAACGAACACGAGCTGCTAGGTTTGGCTATCCGAGTCGAAGTTCAAAAGAACTCAAGACTCATCGGGCAGTGTCACCGCTGCCAAAAATATGGGCATGCGCAATCTTACTGCACTGCACCACCTAAATGTCTAAAATGTGCCTCTGACCACATGACCCACTTATGCCCTCAAATAGAACAAGAGGAACGAAAGTGCGCGAACTGTGGAGGGGGGCATCCAGCGAATAGCCGAACTTGCAGATTTGCCCCTAAGAAAAATCTGCAAGTGATAGCGCAAAGGCGCAATGTAAGTTACGCGGATGCAGCTAGGGATGCAACCCGGGCTGCCCCCTCTGTGGGATCTTCTGCGAACACGCAAAATGTGGACCTGGCAACCGCGCTAAGGTCATTACAGCAGATCATAGTTCCTCTGATTAGCGCAACACAGGCTTTGCAGGCGATCTTTCCTGCAAATGGCTAGGTACAATCGACGACAGCCTGCATTTATCAAAATTCTTTTTTGGAATTGTTTGGGTCTAAGGGACATTCCCAAAAGACGGGAATTTCATCAAGCTCTTGTGGACGAAAGTATAGATGTGGCCTTGCTGCAGGAAACATTACTTAATCCGGGAGATCGTCTAGCTTTCCCGAATTACGATGTTATCCGGGCTGATAGATTAACTGGACGGGGTGGCGGCTTGGCAGTGCTAGTGAAACGCGGTATTGACTACCACAGAAGCACAAACGCTGACATGCAGAGCATCGAAGCGGCTTCCGTGGTTGTCAATATGACGGGAGGTGTGCCGTTAAAAATCACATCGGTGTATGTCAGGTGTGGTAACAGGCTGCAAGAGGCGGATCTGGAAGTCCTTTTAGACTGCTCGGGTCCACTTATTGTGGCAGGGGACTTCAACTGCAAACATCGAGCATGGCATTCCAGGTTGAATTCCACCAGTGGGATCCGACAGTACAACCATGTGATACGAAATGGCTACCTCATACATAGTACTGAGGAGCCGACGCACCACCCATTTAATCACCTTCAGGCACCTGATGTTCTTGATTTGGCATTATCCAAAAACTGTAGCTACAGCATCACTTCTCGAATCATGTATGACATCTCAAGCGATCATCTTCCCGTCGTTTTGGAAGTGGCTAATGAGCAGATCTTGGGGGATGAAATCCCTCCAAGGAAACGCATTGATTGGGAGCTATACAAGTCGCTCCTCAAAGAGTTCCCCAATATACCGATCATAGATGATGAGAACGGTATAGATGCGGCTCAAGCAGAGTGGACAAGTTTTGTTCAGCAAACTCTGCAGCGTGCAGCTGTACTTCCCGTGCAGCGACACGGCAGACCTTTTCTGCCAGCAGACATTCGTCAGAAGATTTCTGATAAAAGAGCTGCAATTAAGCAAGCGAAAAGGTCTTGTCATCCTGATGACATTCGCAGAGCGACGAATCTTGTTCATGAAGTAAGAAATGCTCTTCATGAATTCCGCAATGAGCAATGGAACGACTTTCTGGCGGGGATGCGTGACTCAAGCATTCCTCTCTGGAAGGTGGCGAAGTCGCTCAAAAACGGAAAGCGTGAACAAATCCCACACATTCACGGTCCTGGAGGCATTGTCTTCAGGACAGAGGAGAAGGTTGAGGTTTTCGCCGATGCCATGGAAAGACAGTTCTCTCCCAACTATGATCTTGATAATGACCTCGACGAGGAGCAACACATCGTAAGATCTGTCAGGAGATATTTTAGGGCCAACGGCGTCAGTGACAGTCGCGCATTCGTTGGTGATTTTTCTTCATCAGAAGATTCTTCTTCAGAAGCTTCTTCAACCGAAGATTTGCTTAGCACATCAGCGGTATCTCCTGAGATCCCGCATTGCACACCAGCAGAGATTCAAGGTCATATTAAAGACCTTAAAGTGCGTAAAGCACCTGGGGAGGATCAAATCACTAATAAGGCGCTGAAGCTGCTTTCGCGGAAGTCCTTAACTTATCTCGTGGCAATAGTCAATGCCATGCTCAGGATCCAGTACTTCCCATCCGCGTGGAAGACCGCTGAAGTTATAATGATTCCAAAGAAGGTGGGTTCGATATTTCCCCAGGATTATCGTCCCATTAGCCTGCTGTCAGCTGCGTCTAAGCTCGCTGAAAAGGTGATTCTACGTCACCTTGAGAATTTCTCGTCAGATCACCATGTGATTCCTGACGTGCAATTCGGTTTTCGGTCTGAACATAGTACGGAGCTACAGGCGGTTAGGCTGGTGGAACGTGTAACCAGAGGATTCACCCTTAACGAAAGTACTGGCATCTTGCTTTTGGATGTCTCAAAAGCATTTGACAAGGTGTGGCACGCGGGCCTCTTGTATAAACTAATCCAAAAGGGCTTCCCTTTTTGGCTTCTAAAACTACTGAAATCCTTCCTTGAAGGTAGGAAATTTCGGATCAAAATTGACAATGTGCTGTCGACAACACGGCTGATTACAGCCGGCGTCCCTCAGGGTTCGGTCCTTGGACCTATCCTTTACTCACTGTACATCCATGACGTCCCTAGTCCCAGCAACTGTGAAGTCTATCTCTATGCTGACGATACTGCATTGGTGGCTCAGTCGTGGTCTGGTGACCTAGTCCATGACAGGCTGCAAAGTGCGGTGGAAGAAGTATTAGATTGGGCGGATCGGTGGCTAATTAAAATAAACCATTTGAAAACGCAGGCAATCTACTGTACAAAAAGACGTCGCGGCGTTCCGTCTGAAGTTTCAATGAATGGACTTCGTATACCATGGGAATCCTCCGCTAGGTATCTCGGTGTCATTCTGGATAAAGGGATGACTTGGCGGAACCATATGGAAGCGCTAAAAACTAAATTCCAAATTACGTTTCGGCAGCTTTACCCATTATTATGTAAACGGTCAAAATTAAGTTTGATTAACAAGATTCGACTATATAAGGTGGTCATAAGACCAGCAATGACATACGCATGTGCGGCTTGGTGTTTTATTGCTAAAACACACATGCGAAGTCTGCAGGTTCTGCAAAGCAGGACGTTGCGCACTATTGCTGATGCCCCATGGTATGTCTCTAACGAAACTCTACATAGAGACCTCGATGTCCCTTACCTAAAGGACTACATTAAGCAACAGGCGCAGCGGCGCTATAGCCTAGCGGAATCGCACATCAACCCTCTGTTGCGTGATTCAGTGGACTACACAGTCGAGCAAGTTCGCAAGCACAAAAGGCCGCGGCTCGCACTGTAATCAAAATTAACTCGTGAACTTAGAACAACCAAAATTGGAGCATTTTTACACAATCTTTAGAAAAAATCAAATATTTTTAGACCATATCAAAATCTGTGAAGCGATTTTAACAATGCCTAAACGCTGCATACCCTAAAAGATTCTCTTCTTCCCCTTTGCTCTCGTTCTTCCTTCTCTCCTTTCCTTCCCCTTTTTTCCTTAAAATTGTCTGGTTTCTGGGTTACCAGACCTGACAGACTTACAAACTGACACTGTGACTCAAGAGCTAAGGTCCCACGGACCGCTCTGACAACCAACGATGACTTGATGACTTGATGATGCCTTTGACAACTTCCGTCAAATTGCATTTAAGGTATTTCCCCATTGGCCCAAGGGACCGTTAAATATTAATGTTGGTGAAATTGTTCCTAAAAGTTCATTTGTAACAATTTTTCTCTGCAGTGCTAGCTTGTGCTGACTTTTTTTGGTACAAAGGTCGAGTGCCACACAGACCAGCCACTCGATTTGTAAAATTTGGATATATGTATTTTTGGTTAGTAAGTGCGTGCCAACACTTTTTCTCGACCTGCTAATGATCGCGGTCGTCTACAGCGTTTCTAAGCAAGTCATAACAGTTACGTCTGTTTCTCTGGAGCAATATGTTACAATTCTTAATTGATACACATTAATGCATTCTGCGTACTTTTACATTCAATACGTCAAGAAGCAATTGAAAGATTTTTCACACCGCGTGCGATCAACAGATTGCAAAATATTTGTATACGTTGCACAAGTGATTTTAATCCAATTCCGTTATCATTAAGATTTGTTATTTATATAAACTGAGACAGAAATGGATTTTAATCGGTACTTAAGTAAATGTTTTATTGGAAGAATAAAGAACGTATTTTATTTATATGGCACCAAGATAGCGAATTTGATGAATCTGTTGTTACTGTAATATATTAGTTGCTTTTCAGTTGCCCAAAGACCGTAAGGGCCATCGTGTGTCTCCTAACAGGACACTCTCGACTAAATCGACATATGAGGCTGGCCGAAAAGGTCACATGCCGTTTATGCAATCACAACTCGAACAGCGGAAAGCTACATGCAAAGCCAAGGCGATGGAGTCTGATAAAGGATCAAGGCTGAACACAGTGCATATGGGGGGCACAACATATGCATAAGATTGGCGAGCATATCCCTTTTCTGTAATCTATAATCTGTAGTGCTCAGCACCTGTCAATTCTGTTCGAGCTACACTAAAGTATCACGTATTTCCTATTTTTTGAAATGCATTGTCCACTCCATGAAGTAGCATCATAACAAGAGATTCTTCGTCTAACTAATATTAGTTCTTTATAAAACCCTGATTAAAACCATTTTCGGAACAACAAAACAAAAAATGGCGTCATGTAGGTCGACTCTGCACTTCCCACGCAACGCTGTCTTCGTTTATAAAGGATTATCTTCGGCACAAATTAGCCTCACTATGAAAAAATTTATCTACGAACATGCCAGTCACTTAAATAGGCTCATGCAATAGTGCATGCATAGTCCCCGACAGTAAAACATTATTTTCTTAAAATGATCAGGAGCTTCCGAAATCTAAAAAAGCGGAGATTGACCGGTTTTTATATTTTTTTGCGTGTAGCTCCATCGCCACTGAGCCGATTATCAAAAACTATAATGCTTTTTCGTCATCGGCATCGGCGCTTCGCGTTAACATTTTATCAAAGTCCGACTGGTACTTCTACTTCCAAGTTATAGCAGGATCAAGGATTAGCGGACAAACAGACCGTGTTTTTAAGCTATTTAACGAATTTTCTAGCGATTACAATACTTCCTAGCCAGTGGCGTGGAAAGTAAAGGGTTGTTTTGTATCATCTGATCCTAAAGTTCTTGAAATCTGAACCAAATACTTTGATTTAAGCATCTGTCTCCTAAAGAATTTTTACGATCAAACACTTCTGGGTAGCGTAGAACACTAGTGGACGTAATTTCATGTCAAGGCTGTTTGTAATGATAAAAATAATCTGAAAGATGATTGAATAATGATGGAACAAGTAAAATTTATTTATATCAAAACTTTGAGGATGCCGTCTAATGTAATCTAATATTTGTAGCAGAGCGCATCGTACACCGCAAAATTAGCCATTTATCTAATGTAGTAGTGTGATTGGAAAATTGCGTTGCAAGATTAGATATTCTAGCTATTATTTTTGCATCAGTACAGTGTCAGCATATGAAGTATCTATTCATAGCTAGTTCCTTATTGAACGGTCAGGTGATAAATCAACATTTCAATATTCCCCTGTGGGTCACTACAGACCCACAACTTGACTCTTTCAACATTACAATAATTCCTCGTGGGTCTACTGAGAGATGGTGAATATACAGGGTGTTTATTAGAAAGCATCCCACCACGGATTTATCGGAAACCACTGATTAAAAGAAAAAACGCCGAGACACGTCAAAACATTTGTCAAGGGGGACAACTTGTTACCAAAAACTACTACACCCCCTTTTACCTTCTGTCCCCCAGGGTCATCCTCTTAAAAATTTCAAATGATAAGGGGTATCGACTAATAGTTTGTTTGGAAGGTCTTTCAAAATCCTTTATTTTGACGTTTGATTTCTCTAAATCAGTCGATTCGTTTTAGAGGAAATTAGAAAAACCTTTATTTATCTTTACATAGGTATGGTTTGGACCTTGTTATTAAATTTACTCAAACTGGATCTGTTGAAAATAAAAATCGTGATCATCGGAGAGCTTTGGGTCATTTTGGAAAAAATCCTATTACTTCATTACGCAAAATTGTAGCAGTGACTGGTATTTCATTAGGCTCTGTAAACACAGTTACTAAACTCCATAAATTTCATCCTTTCAAAATGCAAATATTGCAAGAGTTAATCTAAGATGATTTTGATAGACGAGTTGAGTTTTGTGAACAAATGACTGCAGCGATTAATAATAATATTAATAAGCATAACTGCAGGTATTGGAGCAACGCAAATCCTCATGCTTCTATAGAAGAACATACCCAGTACCCCCAAAAACTGTATGGGCAGGCATTTTAGGAAAGATAGTGATTGGGTCATTGTTTATTAATGGAAAATACCATCAATCCACTTATCACTGAAACCATTGGAAACCAAATCGAAGAGGATGGAAACCCTATACTTGATTAGGCTGAAATATATTTCCAGCAAGACGGCGCTCCTCCTCACTATGTTCTTCCGGTTCGGCAATGGCTAGACGACGAGTTTCAAGATAAATGAGGAGAACCTATGGAATGGCCTGCTAAGTCTCCTGACTTGACGTCATTAGACTTTTTTCTACGGGGCGATTAGAAATCTATTGTGTTTACTCACCAACCTGAAAGTTTGAATGAACTTCGTCAACGCATCATCAAAAGCTGCTATGATATTCCACAACGTGTTTTTGAAAATGTCCGTCAGGAATTTGAACATCGCCTATATAATTGTTTGACCAAAAACGGGCAACATTTTGAACAGTTATTGAAATAAAAAGCTATATTTTCGTGTGTTTTTGTGTTCTGAACAAGATAAGTAAAGATTTTTCCAACTTTCTTGAAAACGAATCGACCGAGTTAAAAAAATCAAACGCCAAAATAAAGGACTTCGAAAGACCTTTCAAACAAGCTATTACTCGATACCCTTTGTCATTTAAAAATTTGAAGGGGATGACCCTGCGGGCAGAGGGTGGAAAGGGTGAAGTAGTTTTTGGTTAAAAAGTTGTCCCCCTTGACAAATCTATTGACGTGTCTCGGCGTTTTTTGTTTTAATCAGTGATTTTCGATAAATCCCTGGTGGTAAGTTTTCAAACACCCTGTATATTAACTCGCTAAAATTCCATGCCTCGACTTGTTAAGGATTTCCGGTGAGGCTAATGAAGAATTAGTTTTTTCATCATTTCAATATATATTGTGGCTCTTTCAATACAGATCCATACCTTGACTTTTTTAATATATAATAATTCGTCGTGGGTCTAGAGGGAAATTGTGTAGAGTAATTTCGGGTAATATGGAATAGTACGGGTAATATGGAATAGCTTCTTATTTTTATGTAGGTAGCGACGTCTGTATTTCAATACCTAAGCTAGCCTCTATTATACCCTAAATACACAATAGCGTCGACAGGTTTCGCTGGTTGCCGTTCTCTAGTTTATAAACCGCAAATGAGCATTATTTGTGGTTACAAAGTTGTGCACGATAGTCATTAGAATTTTTGTAAAGGTGTTATTTATTTACAAATCTTGCTTATTTTGACAGGTGAGTCTATTCAAATGTTAAGTTACTGTTTTAGAGGGCTGTTACCATATTTTTTTCTTAAAACATATTTGCTACGTGTATTTTTTTCCTCAGTTGCTGTTTCGGGTAATATGGAATATTCCATATTATACTGCTTCTAGGTATCCCATATTACCCGATGTTTTTGTTTTGATATTTAACGATATTTGTGAAGAGCAAAAAGCCTAATTATCAGCAAAAATTGGGTCGTTTTGCGTATGAAACAAGTTTTTTTTGCAGAAACTAAGTCGGCAAGAAAAAGAAAGCAATGGCAGTCTGATGATATGCGCAAAGCAATTGAAGATGTTAGAAGTAACAGGTTGGGCTATTTGTCAGCTGCAAAACGTTATGACGTTCCACGAGCAACACTTTATCGCTTGTGCAATAAAGAAGGTTCTCCTGATACTGTTTGCAGTACTACATTAGGCCGAAAAACAGCTTTGCCACCGGAATTGGAAACAGAACTAGTGAACTATTTGTTGATCATGGATCAAATGTATTATGGATTAACCAGAAAAGATTTGCGATCCATGGCTTTTCAGCTGGCTCGACGCAACAGCCTTCCACATCCATTTTCATTTTTACGGGAATCAGCTGGAAAAGACTGGTTGTATGGTTTTATGAAAAGGCACAAAGCTTCTTTGAGCATTCGAAAACCAACTGGCACTTCTCTAAATAGAGCTCTCGGTTTTAATAAGGAAGACGTCAATGAGTTTTTTTAACCTGCTTGAGAAACTTATGACAGAAAAAAACTTTCATTGTGAGGATTTACAATGTTGATGAGACGGGCTTATGTATTGTACAATCCAAATGTCCCGAAGTTGTCTCAAAAAGAGGCAAACGACAAGTAGGTGTACTAACGTCAGCCGAGCGAGGCTCCTTAGTGACTGCAGTTTTATGTATGAATGCAGCAGGAGGGTTCGTGCCACCCATGATTATTTTCCCTCGCAAAAATTCAAGTGAGCAGCTTAAGAAAGGAGCTTCTCCGGGCACTTTGTTTGCGTTTCACCCCTCGGGATGGATTGAGACTGAGCTCTTCACTAAATGGTTTGACCATTTTTTGAAAAGGACAAACCCCACCAAAGACAGTCCAGTACTCCTTATTTTAGATGGACATCACTCTCACACTCGAAATACTGACGTAGTCATAAAAGCCCGAGAAAATTTTGTAACAATATTATGTTTGCCTCCTCATACATCGCATAAAATGCAGCCTCTGGATAAAACAGTCATGGGTGCCCTGAAAACTTTCTACAGTGAGGAAATAAGGGTATTTATGCGGGCACATAATAGAGCCGTAACACATTTTGATATGGGCGAGTTATTTGGAAGAGCCTATACAAAAATCCAGACTGCGGAGAGGTCAATAAAGGGATTCAGTACAACTGGCATTTACCCCTTTCGACGAGATGTTTTCTCTGATGAAGACTTCTTAGCCGAACAGCAAAGACATCATGTGCCCCATTCTGTCACAGCAGATTTTCCAGAAAATAATGAACCAGCGCTATGTCATTCACCAAACATTCTCCCCAAGGATATCGCACCAATACCACAACTGAAAAAAAATAGGCTCGGGAGGAAGAAAACCTGGTCGTGCAAGGGTAGTAACCTCAACTCCGAATAAAGAGGGGTTAGAGGAATCTATTAATCGTTCACGTGGGAAAGTTACTAAGAGACTAGTCAATGAAGCAGGACCAAGTTCTCTTAAACAATCTGCGAAGAAAAAGCGAAAAGCACGTTCACCATCAACATCATCTTCATCATTAACATCTTCTTCAGAACCCGTTCCCGCAAACTCCTCTGATGAAGATGATCTCCCCCTGTCATCTTATATTAGTCCCAAGCAATGTGCTGATGACACGACGGAATGTATTTTTTGTCAAGAGATGTTCACGATGAGTAAAAGCAGAGAGGTATGGGTGAAATGTGTCATTTGTAACGGATGGGCTCATGAAGCTTGCGTAAGTTGTGAAGGTGATATCTACATTTGCGATTTTTGCAAATAAAATTAAGGTCTATCTAATTTGTTTTATATTTGTTAAATTACCTAACGTGAAGAATTAAACTTGTTTTTTATTATTTTTCGTATGATTTACCCTATTCCATATTACCCCATATACCTATTCCATATTATACTTCTCTTTTGTTTGACAGATAAAAATAACTAATTGGAAAGTATTTTTCTCTACACAAAAATGAGGTTTGCTTCAGTTGATCTGGTGGTAAGCAATTGTTAGGTAACATCGTATAAGTGTTTCAACAAATTTTCAGAAGAAAAGGTGTATTATTTTTTCAGTTATTGAGAGAAATGAAAATGGTATTCCATATTACCCGAAACTACTCTACTAACTTGAAGAATCGCAGATGTATCAAATCACTAGAAAACTATACTTCAGTTTTTTCACTAGTTCACAAAGATATTTACGGATCCAGTGGAGACTCGATATTGTAACTCTTTCAACATTTAAAAGCTTCCCTGGAAAACTGTGAATGTATCAACTCACTATAGACCCACACAGTGACTCTGTCAACATTCCTATAATGCCTCGTGGGTCTAGTGAGAAATTGTGAATGTATTAACTCACTACGTCAACCCTCTAGAAAAGTATATTTCAGTTCTTTCACCATTTCAAGGATATTTACGGATCCAGCAGATACTCTATATTGTGGCTCTTCCAACATTTAAAAGATTTCCTGCCGGTACAGTGGACAACTGTGAATGTACCAACTCACTACAGACCCATAGCTTAACTATTTTAACATTTCAATAATTCCTTGTAAGTCTAGTGCGAAATGGTGAAACTATTAACTCGCTATAGACGAACATCTCGACCCCCCCACTATTCCGAAGATTCCAGGCGGGGCTAATGAATAATCGCAGATGTATCAGCTCACTAGGAAACTGTCACTATTTAAGGATATTTACGGATCCAGCGGATACTATATTGTGGCTGTTTCAACATTTTAGAGATTCCCTGCGGGTCCAGAGAAAAACTCTGAATGTATCAACCAATTACAGAGCCAGACATTAGCTCTTTCAACATTCCAATAATTCCTCGTGAGTCTCCTGAGAAATGGTGAACATATATCAACTCAGTACAGACCCACACCTTGCCTCTTTCACCATTTCAAAGATTCACGGCAGGGATAATGAGAATCGCAGATGTAGGTATCAAGTCACTAGAAAGCTGTCACTATGTTAAGGATACTTGTGGATCCAGCGGAGACTATATTGTGGCTCTTTCAACATTTTAGAGATTCCCTGTGGATCTAGAGAAAAACAATGAATGTATCAACCCACTACAGAGCCACACATCAACTCTTTCAACATTCCAATAATTCCTCGTGGGTCTACTGAGAAATGGTGAACATATATCAACTCAGTACAAACCCACACCTTGCCTCTTTCACCATTTCAAAAATTCCCGGCGGGGCTAATGAGAATCACAGATGTAGGTATCAACTCACTAGAAAACTATACTTAAGTTCTTTCTCTATTCCGAGGACATTTACTGTTCCAGCGGAAACTCTATATTGTGACTCTTTCAACATTTCAAATATCCCTGTGGGTCCAGTGGAAAACTCTGAATGTATCAACTCACTACAGACCCACAGGATAAGAATAATTCCTCATGGGTTTACTGAGAAATGGTAAATGTATTAAACCACTACAGACTAACACCTCGTCTCTTTCACCCCCGCTTTCACAATTCCAGGAATTCCTGGCAAGGCTAGTGATGAGTTGTAGATTTATCAACTCATTATGAAGCTATATCCAGTGTTACCATACTCTGTTTGTTTTACTCATACATAAATCAGGAAGAAAATCACATGTTGATAATTATAATAATAATAATAATAATAATAATAATAATAATAATAATAATAATAATAGCCTTTATTTAACCTGGCGGGTGTCAGCTAAAAGCTGTTTTTCATACCAACCAGGGCCAAACAAAATTATAATACAAAATCTGGGAGACATAAACATTGTTGAGTAACAATAATGAAAAATCTATTATGCCAAGAATAGGCATTTTTTTAATTTAAAGAAAAAATCATATATATTCACAGTTAACAGTTACACCATTACATAAGTTAAAAACTAAATAATATAAGGTATTATGACATATTTTCAAAAACAATTTTTTTTACTTTTGACCTAAAAAGTGGAACAGATAAAACTTTAAAGCTGACAGGGAGCATATTATAGCGATTAGGTGCAACAAAAGAGAAACTCTTAGTAAATAGGGTGGTTCTATGATGGGGCGTGTTAAGGGTGTAACCAACGAAACGGAGGTTGGCTGCATGATGCTGACTTCTCAAGGATAACTTATTATTTAAGTATATAGGGTATTTGGTCAATAAAATGCTATGAACCAAACATAAAATGTGAACCAACCACCTCTGCCTCATCGTCAACCAATTCACTTCTTGAATAAATGGACACTCGCTCCCTTCTTCGGATTCCAACAGAATATCTAATACAGCTGTTCTGCACTTTCTGAAGTCTGTAAGCTTCGGCTTCAGTCAAACAAGGACCAAACACGGAACTTCCATATTCTAACTTACTTAAAATGAGTGAATCGCAAAGCTTAATTTTAGTATCTTGAGCCAACACGTGCTTAAAGCTGTAGATGCTTTTTAGTTTAGCAAAAGAGCTCTGTACAACCTTAGAAATATGATCATGAAAAGTTAAGTGCTCATCAAAGATTATTCCTAAGTTTAATACCGATATTTTGTGTGTGAGCTCTTCACTATTGAGGCATAGCTTTATAGCATCTCCACTAAACTCGTTCTTCTTAGAGCGGAAGGTAATTATGGCCGATTTGCTACAGTTTATGTGTAACCCGTGGTATCTAAACCAATCACAAACGCCGCGTAAATCTACTGCTAGTTTTTCATTAGCATCAACACATGAGGAGGGATCATAGGATAGATAAAGCTGGGTATCATCAGCATAAGAATGTAAAGCGCAACGTTTGACCGACCGATCCAAGTCCGACACGTATAAAGTGAATAAGATTGGTCCTAAAATGGAACCTTGCGGCACCCCCTTTACAATGACCCGATTGTCAGAATAGTCACTGCCTATTTTAACTTGTTGAAGTCGATCTGATAGGTAATTGTCAAGCCATGTAATCGAATTCTCAGAAAAACCAAGAAAGTGCAGCTTAGCCAATAACATTTTGTGGTTTAAACAGTCAAATGCCTTTCTTAAATCCAGCAGAACAGTTGTAGTTACGCAGGAATTATCTATAGCTCTCAAGTAGTCATCACAAATGTCAACTAATGCAGTCACAGTACTATGATTTTTTCTAAATCCCAACTGTGTATTTGGAATTAAGCTATATTTATTGATGTGTGTTAGCATTTGCTCGTAAACGATCTTTTCTAGAATTTTTGACAAGAGTGAAAGTATGCTTATAGGCCTGAAATCGCAAGGCAATTGGGGATTATCGATTTTACCAACGGGAATAACAGTTGCGGCTTTCCATATGAGCGGTACGATACCATGTTCCAAAGAAAAGTTTATAATATGAGTAAGAGCCTTGAGGCAAAAAGGAAGAATATAGGAAAATGTATCTATATTTAATCCATCTAGTCCGGTAGCACGCGAGTTTATTTTTTGAAAGGTCTTCAAGACTTTTTCCTCGGTAACAAACTTAAACTGAAATAGGTCATTGATATTTGGTAGCATGTGGGTGTTGTGGTACTCTAA